TCAAAAATGGAATCCAACAAAAGACACAAGAAAGACGAAGTGACACAAAATTTGTTAAATTCAAAGATAGGGAAGTTATGGTGTTCAAATGTAAACAAGACAAAAATAGGAGTGTTCATATCCATATCAAAGTAAAATTCAAGAACAAATAATGGGACAAATGTTTTATGGATGGGAAAAACAATTCACCTTTAGTTTTTGACTCTTCACATATTAAAAACATGGTCAAAATACACAGCTCTGGAGAAATTAGCAAGCATGATATGCTATTTAATCTGGTAATCTAAAAACAAGGAACACACTATTTTTTCCCAATGTCCTTAAAATGTATATCAATGTAGATCATCACGTTGGCCACAAAAGAAGTCTCAAAAAGTTATAACCAGCAGAAGCTGAACAGACTGCACGTTAAAGCAAAAAGTCACCCAGAGATTTTATAAAACAAAAAAGTACTGTGTTGGGCCAAAGATGAAATAAAACTTCTTGTTCGAGGGTATTTCAAAAAAAGAAGAAAAAGGAAAATGAAATGAAAATGAATAAAGATGGTTCAACATTAGGAAATCTCTTTATATAATTTCTTACATCAGCAAACACAAGGAAGAAAAAGTATATAAATATATCCCTAAATGATTTTTAAAAGGAATTTGATAAGAACCAAGAGCTACTTTTTAAAAACTATATGAAATAGACATTATCACAATAGAAAGTCTTCAAAAATAGCAAATATTACAGTGAACATGGAAATGATGATGTCATTTAAATAGAAAAAATGATGGCAATGCCTACTATTACTACCATTGTCTTACATATATTTTTAGAAGTTTTAGTTAATGCAATAGAATAAGAGAATGAAGTCACTGGTATAAATACTAAAATAAGATACAACATCGTATGTCCTGTGATTATATACATAGAAACCCCAGAGACCTAACTAAAACCCATAAAAACGAGAAGAAGAATTTGCCAACATGCATGAATAAAAACATAGATAAATAAAACTTATAGATTTTATTTGGAACAACATAAATTGAAAAGAAATATAATACTTCAGAAGCAATAGCAAATACATACGCATATATTTATAAACACCTGAAAAACATGGACCTAAATGAAGAAAACCCTAAAATCTTATTGAAGGATCTAAACAAGATCTAAATAAACAGACATAAATGAGGTACCCCCAATTAGGAAAACATAGCGATTTTAAAACATCCATCCTTTTGAAATTACTGTGTAAGTGTGGTGCACTTGTAATGTACAATCCCACTGAAACTGGTAAGATAATGTAAAAACTTATATGATAGAACAAATATGAGTCAAACCAAGAAAAATATAAAAAGAAAGAAGGTAGAGGAAGATTTAATAGATTTAAGTGTAAAAGATATTAAAAGAAATGTAGAAAAATATTTTGACACATATGACAAAGGGTAAATATATCTGATATACAAAGATTCCAGCTTATTAATGAAATATGACAAATAACCCCAAAGAAAATGGACCTGAACAGGCAGCTTAGGGAAGAGAAAATGAAAATGTCCAATGAATATGTGAATACACACAAACTAAAACATCAATGAGAAATGGCTTCTCACTTATTAGATTGGCAAATACAATATCTTAAGTGACACTGCAGTGGGGAGAAGGTTCAGAGAAACAGACATCCATTGCTGGTATGAACGTGAATTGCTAAAGTCTTTTCAGAAAAGATCTGGCAATATCTGCTAAATTTTAAGATACACTACAGCTGGACCCGGAGTTAGTCCCACTTTTGGAACCTATCTTATGGAAATAAAAACACAAATATGCATCTTATAGAAACAAGAGCTCCAGAACTTTCAGTGGCTCCCCATTTCCCCCGAGTAAAAGCCAAGTCTTTACAGAGTTCAAAGGGCCCAAAAGGATCCAGCCCTTCTCTCCTGTCTCCCAGCTCGCTTCTCACTGGCCGCACCCTCCTCTTTGCTGTTTCTTGACTACACCAAGCACACTCCAGCCCCAGGAACTTGGTGCTGGCTGTCTCCTCTGCCTGGTTTGTTCTTTGTTCAGAGATTCACGTCATGAACTAACTCCCTCATCTCCTTAAGATCCTTGCTCCATCTCACCTTCTCAAGGAGGCCTGCTTTGACCAACCTGCTTAAAATCATAGCCCCAGCCTTCCACCCTGCCCCCATACTCCCAACCCTCTAATCTAGCTCTATTTTTTGTCCACGTCCTTATCACTCCCTAACATATTAAATTAATTACTTATTTATTTTATTTAGCGTTTATTGTCTTATTCATTGTCTCTCTTCTCTCAAAAATACATGTGCCATAAGCACAGGGATTTTGTGTTTTGTTCCTTGATTTTTTCTTGAGTACTTGATATGCACAAAGCACTAATAAATGTTTGTTGGTTGGATGCCCGTAAATATAAAAGCTTTTATCGAAGCAAAAGTTTTATTGTAGCAAAATACAACAATAACAACATAACACTGACCCATAAAGCTGAAAACAACCTGACTGTCCAGTTGGCTGAATGATTGAATAAATTATGGCAAATCTATACTGCTGGAATATTATACAGCTACTTATTTCTAGTAACTTAGATGGAGGGGCAGTTTCATTGATGAATAGAAACATCAAGTTCAGATTGACAGGTTATGACCTCATCCATTTTTATTCAAACCAAAGTAATAAAAATCTTTTATTTGTGTGTAAAGTTGGGAACAAATACTGGGAATAGCATGGAACTCTACACCCCAGGCTGTTAACACTGGCTTAATGAACAGTGCCAGAGTTCCACCCAGCTCCCTTCAGATCCTTCTTTTACTATTTTCTGGCAACCTCAGAAGAAATAGAAATAGTAGAGCCAACAGAACAAGACGTTAGAGTAAGTATATTTAATACTACCACAGCTTATGAGATAATATTGTTTTTATAAAATAATTAACTAGGAAACTTAGAAATTAAGAGTTTTGCTTTTAGATTCAAAAATAAAGGTAGGCAAAATAATAAAATATATAGGAATAAATTTAACAAATGAAACACAAGACATATGCTGAAACTACAGAACATTGCTAAGAAAAATTAAAGATCTCAATAAATAGAAACATTCATGGGTTGGAAGCGTCAATATTTTTAAGGTGGCAATTCTCCCCAAATTGATCTATAGATTCAACGCAATTCTTATCAAAGTTCCAGCAGGGCTTTTTGCAGAAAGTGAGAAGCTGATTATAAAATGGATGTGGAAATGCAAAGCACCCAAAATAGTGAAAACGATCTTGAAAAAGAAAAACAAAGTTGGAGGACTTATGCTTCCTGATTTTGATACTTATTTTAAAGCTATGTTAATTAAGACAGTTATAGTACTGACATAAAAATAGATATGTGGATCAAAGGAACAGAATTGAGAGTTCAGAAATAAACCCTTCTGTTTGGGGTCAGTTGATTTTCAACAAAAGTGCCAAGGCAATTCAATGAGGAAAAGATAGTCTTTTCAACAACTGGTGCTGGGACATTTGGATATCTACATGCAAAAACATTAATTTATACCCTTACCTCACACTGTTTGCAAAAATCACCTCAAAATGGATCATGGATCTAAATGGAAGAGCAGGACCAGACTCAGGGGCATGCATTCTACGCACTTACACAGCTCTTGTACCAGGTTTAATGTTGTGCTTTCACCGTTTGGAAATTCTTAATGGTTTGTGAACAAAACGCCCCCCAATTTCTTTTTCACTGGGCCCCACAAATTATGTAGTTGGTCCTGTGTAAGAAGGAAAACGATAAAACTTTTAGAAGAAAATATAGGAGAAAATATTTGTGGCCTTGGGTTAAACAAAAAGGTAGATACAACCCCAAAAGCATGATTCATAAAAGAATAAATTGGAATTACACAAAATTTAAATATTTTGTGTTTCAAAAGGCACCATTAATAAAATAAAAGACTAGTTCCAGTCTGGGAGAAAATATTAGCCAATCATATTTCTAATGAATGACTGCATCCAGATATGTAAAGAGTTCTTACAACTCAGTAATTAGACAAACAGCCCAGTTAAAAGATGGGCTAATGATTTGAACAGATGGTTCTCCAAGGAGATATATGGAAGGTAGCAAACACGTGAAAAGACGCTCAACATCATTAATCACTAGGGAAAAAGCAAATTAAAATCAAAATGAGATATCAATGCATAAACACTGAATTGGCTACAATCAAAGACATAAAATAACAGGGGTTTGCAAGATTGCGGAAAAACTGGAACCCTTAGACATTTCTGGTAGGAGCGTAAAATGGTCCTTCTGAACAACTGCAAATTAGTTTCTTAAAAAGTTAAACATAATATTGCCATATGACTCAATGATCCTACTCTTAGGTACCTACCTAGAAATGAAAATATACGTCCACTCAAAGACTTGTATGCAAATATTTATGGCAGCATTTTCCATAATGCTCAAAAAGTGGAAACAATCCAAATATCCATCAACTGGTGAATGGATAAATAAAATTTCATAGATCCATCCAATGAATACTATTCAGCAATAAAAAGGAACGAAATACTAATGCATGCTACACCATAGATGACCCTCAAAAACGTTATGCTCAGTGAAAGAAGCAAGAAGCAAACACCAATATGACTTATGATTCCACCTATATGAAACGTCCAGAAAAAGGAAAATCTACAGAGACTGAAGGTAGATTAGTGGTTGCCTGAGGCTGGGGGATAGAAATAGGAATTGACAGAAATAGCCACGAGCGAACTTTTTGAGGTAATGAAAATGTTCTAAACTTGCATTATGGTTGTGGTTGCAGAACTCTATAAATTTACTAAAAATCGTTGAACGGTACACTTAAAATAAGCAAATTTTATGGTATGTAAATTATACCTCATTAAAACTGTTTAAAAAATAAAGGCAGATGTGTTAGCTGAATAGACTCGAAGAAAAGTTAGCTAGCCACATTTTCTTTCTGGAATGCAAGAAAAAAAAGAAGATATGTAAAATATGAAAAAATTAAGACATACTGTGTAATCTGATGTTTCAACATTCTGCTGATGGGAATTCTAGATGGAGAGAAGAGAAAGAATGAGAACAAGGAAATCAAATAAAAAGAGGAAAAAAATTCTCCTTTTGTTATTGCTGAAGGGTGTCTTGCAATCATAATAAGAACCACAAGAGTCGATTCGGTCCAGCCATAACATTGGTTTGGAAAGAGGAGGCATGTGTGGGAAGCTCAGGAGCCCATGTGAGTGCCCCCAGGCATTTCTAGCAGAGGGCATTACTATGGACAGCCTGAGACCATCATGAAACACTAATGGGAAGTGCAGTGTGCTCTGTAGCAAAACTAACATCAGAAACAAATAGAATTTAGGTTGAAAAGTATTACAAAGAAAGCAGAAGTTTATTTCATACTGATAAAATGTCCACTTCACCAGACTGTATGGTAGAAGTCATGATCTGTAAGGAAGTATCTTTAAAATATTGAAGGGAAATATTTTACAGCTATGTAGTGGCAGAGTTGGGGCCAGAACACCCCCTCCCTAATCTCCCTACCCACCCTCTCACCTCCTACCCTCCCTCCTGACTGGCATTAGGTGGTGCCTTATTAATCACTACATTATATTGCCTTTCAAACTGGAGAAGCCTCAAGAATGACATTCACTAGGCCACAAAAGAAAGCATAATAGACTCCCAAGTTAAAAAATCTTAAGGAACACATTTCCTAACCACATATGATAAGATCAGAATAAACAATCAGGAAAAGGAAGGCCTCTCCCAGTCTATCCACTGAGAAATTTCCAAAGCTCCTTCTAACAGTCCTTAGTTTGAAGAGCAAATCAAAATAGAAATTACAGGTGATTAAGAAATAAACTCCTATGAAAACATTACGTATAAAAACCACAGACATACCCAAAGTGGCACAGAGGTGAACATTCATGGCCTAAAATGCATTTACTAGAAAACAAGATACATTGAAAAGTAAATTAAGTTTTAAGTCAAGGTATTGATAAAGAAATCAAGGTAATCCCCCCAAGAAAATTGAAGACAAGAATTCAGAAGGAAAAAAATATATAAATATAATGAAAAAAGCAGGATTTAATTAAATGCCAAACAAAAAATAAGAGTAACTGGGGCTAGCCCAGTGGCATAGTGGTTAAGTTTACACGTTCTGCTTTGGCGTTCTGGGGTTTGCAGATTTGGATCCAGGGTGTGGACCTGCACACTGCTCATCAAGCCATGCTGTGGCGGCATCCCACATACAAAATAGAGGAAGATTGGCACAGACGTTAGCTCAGTGACAGTCTTCCTCAAGCAAAAAGAGGGAGATTGGGAACAGATGTTAGCTCGGGGCCAATCTTCCTCACAAAAAACAAAACAGAGAGAGTAATGAATTAACAGAACCAAAAGGTGGTTCTTTGAAGAGAATAAATAGAACATTTGATCAACAGAACAAAAGGAAAATATAAAGGAACAATACTGGGAATAAAGAAAAAGACATGCCTCCAGTTAAGGAAAAGATTAAAACTTTATAAAAGAAATCCTTGCATAACTTTCTACCAATAAATACGGTAATCTAGGAAAAATGATTACCTTTTAGGAAAATACTAATGGTCAAAACTGAGAGTTAATATGAGAACTAAGAACTGGAATTAACAGAAGAAATGGACAAGGTACTTGCAGGCCGACCCTAACCCTGCCCTCTCCCCAAACCCACACACACAGTTTCAAACAGTTTTATAGACAATTGCCAACAATCTTTCAAGGAACATAAAATGTTCATATTAAATAAACCATTCCAATACATTTTTTAAAAAAATTTCAAATCATCCCAAAACATCAGGAAACTACTCTAAGTCTGCTATCAAGACGAGATAAATACAAGATAAAGGAAAATTGTAGGTTAATGTTGCTTAACACATAAGGTTAAATCCCTTAATAAAATATTAGCAAGTCCAGTCCAAGAGTGGATGACAAAGTAGTATGATGTGATCAAGTCGGTGTTATCTCGGGAATTCTAGGACAGGTCACGTTAGAAACTCTCTCCATGCTTTTGATTAAACCTGGCAGATTGAATACATCTGCATTTATCTGCACGCCCTCTGAAATCCTTCTAAATGCCTGTCAGAGAGTTACATGGCAGAAAGTAGCCAGGGTGAGAGAACAGGGGAGGAAAGGACATCAAACACCAGATTTCAAGCAAATATTTCAGAACACGGCATGTGGATGTATAAACAGGAGCCAGTTTCACAGAGTGAAGGCATGAGAAGCCTAATTGGACCTCTGAGTTCCACCATATACAAAATCAACTCAAAATGGATTAAAGACTTAAACGTAAGACCTGAAACCGCAATGTAGTGTACAGCATGGGGACTATAGTTAATAATAGTGTATTGTATATTTGAAAGTTGTTGAGAGAGTAGACCTTAAAAGTTTTCATCACAAGCAAAGCAAATTTTGTAGCTGTGTATGGTAATTGATGTTAACTAGACTTATTGTGGTGATCATTTTGCAATATATACAAATATTGAATCATTATGTTGTACATTTGAAACTAATATAATGTTATGTCAATTGTATCTAAATAAAAAATTCATAAATTAAAAAAAACCACAAAAAATATATTCTTATCATATAACCCATGATAGTGCTCTTTGGAATTTACCAAAAGGAAGGAATTGAAAAATTATGTCCACACCAACACCTACACATGGATGTTTATAGCAACTGTATTCATAACTGCCAAAATTTGGAAGCAACCAAGAGGTCCTCCAAAAGGTGAAGGGGTAAATAAACTGGTACATTCAGACAATGGAATATTTTTCAGTGCCAAAAAGAAATAAGCTATCAAGCCACAAAAAGACTGGGAGGAAACTTAAATGCATGTTACTAAGTGCAAGAAGCCAATCTGAAAATGTTACATTCTGTATGATTCCAATCACATGACATTCGGGATAAAGCAAAACTAGGGAGGCAGTGAAAAAATCAGTGGTCTGGCAACCACCAGCAGGGTTAAAGGGAGGGATGGATAGGCAGACCACAGAGGATTTTTAGAGCAGAGAAACTGCTCTGTATAATACTATAATGGTGGATACACGTCATTATATATTTCTCCAAACCCATAGAATGCACAAGAGGGAATCCTAATTAATCTATGGACTTGGGGTGATAATGATGTGTCAATACAGGTTCATAATTGTAACAAATGTACCACTTTGGTGAGGGATGTTGATAACGGAGTAGGCTATACATGTTTGGGGGAGAAGATATAGGAGAAATCTCTACTTTCTACTCAATTTTGCTGTAAATCTAAACTGCTATTTAGGTCTACATAAAACATATAAAAACCCACATAAACCCCTGAAACTGTAAAACTTCTCAAAGAAACATAGGACAGAAACCTTCTTGACATTGTTTGTGGAAAGAATTTATTGGATTTGACATCAAAAGCACAGGCAACAAAACCAAAAATAGACAAGTGGGACTACATCAAACTAAAAAGCACTGCACAGCAAAGGAAACCATCAACAGAGTGAAAAGGCAACTATGGAATGGGAGAAAATGTATGTAAACCATCTATCTGAAAAGGGGTTAATATCCAAAATATAAAGGAATCTCCTATACCTCAATAGCAAAAAATCCCAAAAACCAAACAAAAAAATAAGTAAAGGACTTGAATAGACATTTATCCAAGAAGACATATAAATTGCTACCAGGTATGTGAAAAGGTGCTCAACATCTCTAATCATGAGGGAAATGCAGATCAAAACCACAATGAGATATCATCTTACACTTGTTAGGATGGCTACTGTTAAAAAACACAAAAGATAACAAGTACCAGCCAAGAGGTGGAGAAATTGGAACTTGTGTACATTTTCAGAGGGAAAAGAGTGAGGCAGCCACTATTGAAAACAGTTTGAAGATTCCTCAAAAAAATAAAAAATAGAACTACTATATGATCCAGCAGTCTTATCATGAGTATTTATCTATAAGAATTGAAATCAGAATCTGGAAGAGATATCTGCACCCCAGTGTTTATTTCAGCATTATTTACAATTGCCAAAATGTGGAAACAACCCAAATGTTCATTGACAGATGAATGGATAAAGAAAACATGGAATATACTTACAATGGAATATTATTTAGCCTTAAAAAAGAAGGAAATCCTGTCATTTGCAACAACATGGATGAACCTAAAGGACATTACACTAAGCAAAATAAACCAGTCACAGAAGGACAAATATTGCACGATTCCTCTTATATGAGGTATCTAAAATAGTGAAACTCATAGAAATAGAGAATAGAATGGTTGCCAGGGACTGGGGGAGGAGGAAATGAGGAATTATTTTTCAATGGGTAGAAAGTTTTAGTTATGCAACATGAGTAAGTTCTAGACGCCTGCTTAAAACATAGTACCTACAGTTAATAAACAAGAGGAAAATTTTGGAGGTGATGGATATGTTTACTGCCTTGGTTGTGGTGATAGTATCATGGTTGTATGCATATGTCCAAACTCAGCAAGATGCATACATTAGATGTGTACAATTTTTTTATATATCAATTATACCTCAATAAATCTTTAAAAAATATAATTACTTACACAGGGGGAAACTGACAAGAGGCAAACCAATTTGGGATTCTGAATTGTGGAAGAGGTCCGGAATCAGAGGCACCATGAATTCAGAAGATAGGTTTGGAGGTAAAAATAAAAACTGGCACAATGAAGCTCACCAGTCAACTAGAGGCATCCCTTTACACAGATCCCTAATTAGGTTTTCACGTCTTATTCCCAAATGTGGATGGACACCCAATGGACAACTGACAGAATCTTCGAGAAAAAACAAATAACAAGGCAGGAGCTGGGAAGAAACTAACTCTTGAAAGAACCTTGGAAGAAACAGATGGAATAAAAAAAAATATCATCCTCAGTATTAAGGAGAAAATATTGGATTCATTAAAAAAAGAAAAAGGGATGGTGTAAAAAAGAAGTAACTTTTAAAAAGAGCTGTTGGAAACTAAAAGTATGATGGCAGAAATTTAAAAATCACTAGAAGGAAGTAACGAG